TTGGGTGAGTTGCATCCAGCTCGAGCCAGCCGTTTCAATAATGTCATCCGCCCATCTCGTGAACGGTCTTCCTTCGTTACGTTTCCCAATAGGGCCTTCCAACCGGATCGCCATTATTGTCCATCGATCGTCATTAATCTATAACCCCTTTAAATTGTGCGCTAAAAATAATATGAGTAAAAGTAGGAAGGAAGCGTAACCAATACCTTGTAAGTTGAGTAGTTTGTGGCAAATACGACCCCGGGAAATTATAAGACCGCATGGTTTGCGGTAAGTTTATTTTCTAATACTTTACGTATTAAAAAGTTCTGTTTGCACTAAGTTTAAACTTGCGATTTGTAATCCCGAGTTCGTCTGTTCGAACTATGATACACTAATGAATTTTTCTCACTGCAAGCGCTATTGAATCTTACAGTGAACGAAAGTATTGTGAGGAAACCAGAATGTCAATAGGCTCAAGAAATCATAAAATATTATTGGCTTACATCTTGAAATCTTAGGCTAATATGCAAATTTATTTGTGAATGTATGTAAGCTAAATAAAAGGTAGTACATTACAGTGATTTGATTAATAGTTTATAAATTTATTTATTTATTTAAAATTACATATGAAACATTTAGTGACGTAATAAATCTCCTCGTCTTCCGTAAAGTTTAATTTTAAATGGCACGCGTAATACAATCGTTTAATATAAAAATAAATACGGATATACGAGTACATTCTTATAAACAATAAAAGTTGTCCAGCTATTTTTAGAATTAAAATTGTATTATCAAAAACCTGTAAAATTTCATAATTATTGTGCAACGTGAAGTTCCGAATGGTTCCATGGTTGAATGGTTTTGGTAATTTAGGAACTCCTTGCCATTCCTTCAACTTAACTCTCCCAAATTAGTATATACCTATTATTACCACAGATAAGACGTGCCTTGGCCTGGAAATTATTACTTTGATTTTTACTCTAACATCAATAATGTTTCTGTTTCCAATTTTTGTACCATAAAAGTATGCTTCATTTAAAAATAATTTAAAACAACTATTAATGTCCTAATCCTTGTATCTTTATTATAGCTACTAGTATTTCGTTCTCCGGATTTATAAATTTTGTGCTGTCATGTTTTGTTTTGCTTTGCTCTGTATTATATTTTTTATAAGTGAAACTTTTTGTGGATGTACCAATGTGTTTATTTTATGTTTTATTTTTTTACTATTTTTACAGAACGCACCATAAGCGTTAATGCAATCACTACAATGAATGCTTAGTTTTATTATTCTATCATGTACCACGAATGCTTAGTTATCATGTAAGGGTTTTTACAGTAAGAATAGAATTATATTAAAGCCAGTCTAATATCGGCCACCATAGTGATAGGGTCTTGCATCGACCACCTTAGGATTAGGGTCTAACATCGACCACCTTAGAATTAGAGTCTAACATCGACTATTAGTTAAGAATACTAAGTGTAATTACTTAATAAAGTTTTCCTTTTTAAAAAAACCTTTAAATACCGTCGCGATTTGACTAGAGATATATCTGTTTTGTTTACCAAATAAATAAATAACACTACGCTTTTGACTTTCGAACTGGTAGTAAATGTAAATTTAGAATGAATTTAACATATTTTCTGTTGACGTGAGTGTACTCGGTTACCTATACGAATAAAGTTGTTTTAATTTTGAGTTTATAGTTAGTCCACACAATTTTAAGATTGACGGATGTAGAAGGAACTATATTCGATTATTGTTTCGTTATGTCGTCAAAATTATTGGTATCGGCAGTTTCGTAAAGAGTGCCAGTTCCAGGTGTGGACTGTGGAGGAAGGAAGGTGCTCCTAGCATCCTCGACCAGTATCACCACGGACAAAGTTGAATACAATGTTTTTCTTTTATACTTAACCCATAAATAATTTGAATTAATATATTATTATATCCAAAAACACAAATTATCTACCAAATATATAAAATGAAAAAAAAAATATAATTTAAGTATTTGTCTAGAAAAAAATTATAGAGAAAATTTTTTGCCTCATAATTAACTTTAATCCGCATTAAGTGCTATTTAATTAAAATTTTAAAATAGGTAGATTATTTGGTCGAATTCAACATGCGCTTAATGAGGTTAAAGTTTCCATTTAGTTTTAGTTATTTCTTTTATTTTTTATTATGTGGTTGCTTGTTTAATTTTTTTCTTGTTGGTTTGAAATTTTAATTTCTTATATATAATTGATATGTATGTGTGTAAAATTTGTGAGGTCATATTTTAAGCATACATGTTGATTTAGGACTTATAATTAAATAAATAAAATAAAATATAGGTAGATTATTTTTTTACTATTGCTAATACATTTTACAGCGTTTGACATATACATACAAATAAAAATAGAAAAGGAGAGTTTTCACGTTACGATATGGCTATGGAAAATGGCTGTGTGTTTGTGGCTTTGAAATTGTGGAACAAACTTGTAAATAACCTTTATTGAAATAAGTCAGTTCGTGCTTACAAGAACGAACGTCATAATGGATAACAATTGCTTTTATCGTACTTGTAATTAATAAGAAATACAACTCGTAACACTGGTTGAATTCCGGTAAACAAAATATGATTGTTTCAAGGCAAGCTACGCCCTCTTTGCCTATTACTATATTTTTTATGGGCACGCCTAAAGAACCGTCATCGCAGTCTGTAGATAACCATTTCAGTAGGTGCGCATTTTTGTAGGATCCTTCTCGGGAGGAGTATACACATTTTTAAGCAGTTGAAGGTCGTGTCTACCGAGGATGACACCCATCGGGAGTCGATTGCAAAGTACGTTAGTTCGCAAAATAAAATTTCTCGTATAGCGGATTGTCTGCCTTCCAGCCATCAAGGTGATGTAAATGAAATTTTGAGTTAATACGGTGTTGAAACAAGGCAGCAGGGATCAACCCAAACAACTCTTCAGAACACTCCATAGTACACTTTGTAGAATACGTATAGAGACGCAATGTCTCTGCGTAGAGAAAATCAATCAAGCCGATCAATAATAATACATAGGAGATTGACAATTTAACAAGCCTTTCGCTGAATTTGACAAAAGGAAGAAGCTGGTATTTGGGAGCACATTCCCAGAGATGTGAGCAGTATTCCATATGAGGTTGTACTTGCGCCTTTAAATATCTGAGGTCTATCAAGCCTTAGACATTCGGAATATATGCCATATGTATTCATGCCTTTCCTATATGCTGGGAATATGGAAATTTTCAAACAATTATCTGTATAGTTTCAAGATCCCTGATTCAAATGCACGGCGGCGTGCGAACCTACATCGATCGATCGATATTTCATATTCCATGTAAATCGGGAATAATTATAAGCAAGCATAAATATTGTTATTGTTATGATTAACTTTCAGCCCCACTAATGAGCACTAACATTTATTCTCATACGCTTTGGGAAACGAGTTGAATAAATATCTACTATAAAAAATCATATTTCTATACCAATATTTCAAAACTCAAATATTTGTATACACATGCTTTTAACGAATACCTTTATTATTCTAGAGTAATATATGAAATTAAAAAAATAAATGAAAGACTGCGATAAAACATTATTTAAAAATTGTGTGTATTAAAAAAGCTTGTATACACAGCTTGTTTCCACAATTTAATTGTAATAGCAAAAATTTCTAACATGCACTTGCTAACATATTATGAGCAGGCGTTAAATGTTAGTACCGTACTATTATTTTTACAGGTCTCAGATAACAAACATTTTTATTATTTTTAAATTCAACATATATTGGAAAACTATTTTTTTTTATAAAATACAAAAATTTAATTAAAAACATTTAAATTATTTAAATTTTCGTTTCTCCTTCGTAAAAACGAAAAACTAAAATTATTTAAAATTGTTAAACGTAAAATTGCTAAAAGTTCTATCAGGCGTTAATTCTACACTGGTTCACATGAATTTTAATTTACAGAAAAAATCATAACAGCCATTGTTCAATTCTTAAAAGTAGTATAAAGTGAGACGTTTGTTTAAAATTCAGCATTAAGTTTGAGAATCATTTCCTAAGTATACTTTATAATTGGAATTCATTTTTAACAAGTGTGTCTCCATTATATTGTACAGCCATCTATACATATGTGTCGTTCTCTGTTTTCAACAGCTGGCATCTCAAACGTCACCCATCAAAAACATCTCAGCTTTCTGGCAACACGCAAGCCATGCCGTATTGATATTTTGGTTCGAACGTGTAGCTTTCCCGACCTTGTCTTTAACAATTTCATACCTATTTGGCCGAACGCCATCTTCAAACAAAGATATAATAAACGTACATTACTCCCGCAGTTTCATATAGAAATATTGCTAGTTATGCGAAGTGATCGTGATGATGAAACTTCTCATCCCTATTAGTAAAGTTTTACATTGAGTTAAAGAAACGCTATTTCAAGAGATGTATCTGTATAGCTGACGGTATAAACAATTAGAAAGCCAATAGATTAACAGCGTATAAAGTTATACATTATACAATAGATTTAAGAGTACCGAGAAAGATATCTCTTATACGACCTCACTGAACAAAACATTTGTTGATTTCTGTAGGGTTTCGGAAAAATGTATTTTCATCTGATTAACCAATGATAAACCTTTAGAATTTACGATTTCCTTTTTATAATCAGTCAATCAAAAGGAGAATACTTGGTGGGTATTTTCCTTAGCAACAATGACATATACGTGGCGTGTTTAATAACTGTATCGTGCTATATCCACTTAGTTTTATGGTGAAAAACTAAAGTTCCTGGCAGTGAAGTTCTCTCGACTATTAATAAGCTTTGTTGTTTTCTATATGAATATATGATAACTATATTTAAAAAACAATTTTACGTGTGACGGAAAACGACGCGTTTGCGCTGCGTCTCTTAGCTTTATTGTGCGTCATACCGTGACTGCGAACGTTTCAGAAGTTTCATTCAGTCCAATTAGAAGATATCGGCGGACGGTCGTGTGATCATGACCACGAAGGAAGATGTAACAACCTTCGAGGCAGCTTTGGAGAGAACTGGTGAATATTGCTTTGTTTTTAATGTCTCTATCTCTGTTTGATACGAGATGAGTTTTTGGCATACATTTAATGAAAAATATTGTTTATGAAATAAGTTTTAATAAATTTTTAAATCATTATGTCATGTATAGTTACCACTGTAGAGTGATCGTAATTGATAAATATTGCTCATTACTCATTTCACTCACGTTGAAAGATGTATTGTTGAAATGTGAATTAATATTTTTCTTAATGATAAATTAGTATATTTTATTACAGTTCGTTGACAGCGTTAGAAAGGTCTAAAATTAATAAAGCAGGAATGTTATGAAAACACTTAACTATTTTATAAATATTATAATTATTGTTATTGCGGTTCGTTTTTGCTTTTAACACTAACATTCGTCATGAATGAATACGTTTTTTAATTAAAATTATAATTATAGCCCGAGTACTGTGTACCGTATAAGTGGTATTTGCTACGAAATGTGCACAGTTGTTAGAGTTTTACGATTTTTACCTAAAGCATTTGTAGTCACAGCCAGGAGTTAGCTATAAAGCTTTACAAAACAATTCAGGGCTAATCTTTATTGGAAATGATATCCTGATGACTTTATATTCCATTAATCTAATAATTCTATGTGACTATGTAGGTACATCTGTGGTCATGCTTCTTACTAACTTTGATCATTATGATTTTTGAACGAACGTTGTCGACAACTATAACATTATTCTGAACCATACTGACCGCGCTCAACTATCTCGAACTTCTGCAAAATATTTCAAATCTGTAGCAACATAATAACAATTTAATAGATAACTATTATGCATTACGTAATACATTCCTATTCACAATTAATGCGCAAGATTTATTTATTAATTTGCTCTACATTCTATCAGATATTACAGACAATATGGTGTTAAATATCAGTTTTCTGAACCCAAAATCGGTTTCATAATATTATAATGACTAAGCCACAATACCGTAAACTAGTGCACAATTCCATCCGCATCATAGCGTAGCAACTGAAGTGCCAATTCTTTAAATGATACCACAATCAAACACATTGCAAGCTATTATAAATGTAACATAAGACACTATCGGCCTATATAGGTTATTTTTCAGATGGGGGCTTGGGCTTGTGAATTTTCTTAGCTGAATTTCGAATCAGTAAACCGACATTGTGGGGTTGGATTCCGACAACACGGACCCTCTCTATTCGTACTGTTATGTATATTCGTTAGTTTCATCATCGGACGTCAAGGCAAAATACAAAATACCATCCGTATCACCTCGACGTTCGTCGTTCCACAACTGAGCGTAATTTAAGTCAGTTTTTGCTGCGCACCACCACTATGTGGAACCTGCTGCCCACTGAAGTATTTCCGACCCAAATCGAATTAGGGTACGCAAGAAAAGAGCTTTCTGAAAGTGGGAGTGTGTGTGAACATCATATGAGCCTCCTGGCCGTTTGCCTCCTGTAAAATAAAAAAAGGTATCTATAGGCTGAAGCCGGATTATGCAAACTATTAGGCCAAAATTATACCTATTTATTGTACTAAGGTCCAACTGGTACAAAGGTACTAAGGCAAGAGCGTACCAACGCTTAAAAGGCCGCCAATGTACTTGTGAGTTTTCTGGAAATTTGAGTGTCCATGGTTTGTTCTATAAATAAACTGCATGCTTTGCAAGCTTAAGCAAATTATTAAATTTCTAAGTAAGATACTGACCTGGTGTTGTGTAAGGTCAAAGATTTACCGCTAATTAAAAATAAAATAATTCAAATTTATTAATTATTTAATTTTTTGTAACAATTATGTTTACCAAAATTATCATATATTTAAGATAAACAGCAAGATAACATATATAGGAATAGTATTAAGTATGATGATGTAAACTTCTGAATAAATAAATAAAGGAGAATGTTGTGTCTAAACGGAAACTAAAAAAATATATTTTATATTAAACGCCTGCCAACTAATAGGGAAATAAATCTAATTACAAAGAAGTTGTATAGAGTTTCCAGTCTTAGCTTTTTAATTTTCCTTAAACATTTTCCGCCTTCATATTATCCAGCGCAAGGAAAACGTTTGAAAGCTTATTTCTCGGAAAAATCTATATCTCGAGAATCGGTTTAAATAATAATAATTATATTTTCTAATATATTTTTAATTTTGTCTTTAGTTGAGATACAGCTAAAGAAAGTTGACACTAAAACTCGCATGAACGTCACAAATAAAAATCCTTTCTCACCGTTAAAGGGTTAGGTTACAAACATAGACAAAAAAATATATATTTAAAATATAAATCAGTACAATCAATCAAATAAACATATAATTTATTTATAGGTACCTCAATGTGCACTTATGACAGTTAGTATAAAAACTGTTTTTAAATTTGCATTTACTGGCAGTTCTCAAATAGTGGTGAAAACCGGACGAAAAGAATTGGCAATAAACTCAACTTGTCATTCTAACTTTCATTCGTTTAAACTGCCAAGGTATTTTTTTTTTCAATTTGGTTACCTAACAATCAAATTGACTTTACATAATGCTGCTCATTAGATGTTAAAACAGTTAATTATATGGATATTAAACGAATAAGAAATCCAAATCTTTAACTTTATTAAGGCACGGTGAAATAGGAGCAGGTACTTACTTTATTGTGGGAACAACAAGCCAACACGTAGCATTAAGGTGTATCAAGGCAGAAAATAATAGTCTCTAATTCCCTTTGGAGTATCTATGGAGGCCGAGGGGGTTCAAGTGCAGAAGCGCTAATTAAAGATGAAGCTGGCGCCTGGTAGATAGTACCGGTGACCCCAGAGCTGATGTTTTCCTCGCTCAACGAATAAGTATAGAAATACAGCGAGGATATGCTGCCAGCATTGCTCACTGCCACAGGAACCAAATTTGTTTTAATTTTCTATTTATTAATATAAAATTTTAATATTTGTTGTTGTGCGTTGTGTTGTTGTGTGTTGGAAATAAATACTTTCCCATTTATTAATTTAAAATATAAAACAAAAAATTAATACATAGCCGAATACGCATAGTTATATGCTTATTAATGGTACAACAAAAAATGGTTAACAGATATTTAAAAAAAATCTAGTCTCTAGTAAAAAACGTTAAATGATTTCAAAAATTTAAGGATTAATTGTACTGATTCCTTGATATCAGTAGCGATAATTGGATGGGTATTTATTTTTCTTTAAATGGGTATTTATTGCTAAGCGGTTAATCTATAAATTATACTTACACGCGCTCGTGAGTTCTGACATGAATTTAAATTACAGACTTAGTAATAATCGTTAAGATTACTTTAACATTATTTCTGCTGAATTAAACTTTGAACTTTTGAATTTCGCAATGAAAGTAATTTAAGTAAGGAAATGTATACAAATATAAAAATCTATTTAGGTTGAAATTGCAGCAAGTACCTTCGAATCTAAATATTTATTTTCCGGGGACTAACCTACAACCTCCACCGTATTCGTTAACCACTAAGTCATTATAAGACAATACCATTTCTCGTATATATTTTATGGATAAAATAACATTTGAAATGGGTTTAGTTATTTTGTGAAAGTGATTTTACTTCCTTATATCTCCCTTAATGTATAAATCCCACTATTTCATGTATCCGGAACTAATGGGGCACGGGGCAAACATATTATTGCGAAATTAATTAACGATAGTTTTTCTTGTTATAAATAAGTATTTTCAAATTGTTACACAAGTGCACTTATGAACGTAAACAGAAAAGATGTTAAATTGATTCTAAATTAACATTTACTACCAGTTCACAAGTCAAAAGCGTCGAGCGGGCAAGAAGAACTGGCAAGAAACTCTTTGCCATTCTTTTTAATCGCCAAGTTTTAAGCCATACAGTCTTAATCTCGTGTTAGAATCGTTTTCTATGATATGTCAGTTTCCTCAGCATGTTTTCCGTTAACACAAACTACTCTAATTGTATATAGAAAGATATAACAACCACACAATAATCAATTATATTTTATAAGTTATTGAATGAGTTCTGTTGAATCAAATGATCTGTGGTCAACATTGTATGCGTGGTTTTTTGTTTACAATTGAATAGAATTGTATTATTTTAGGAAGTGTTTTTTATTATTAAATGTTTTCAGTGACATATATTGTTTTTTTATTTGACCTAGCGGGGTCTTTAATATTGTGCTCGTGGGGAAAATCATTGAGGCATTTTCTTTATTTATCTTATCCTGAAAAGTTATAACGTTTTAACTAAAAGTGTAATGTTCGCGTAAATATTAATTATTACTGGGTGGGATGATAATTAATCATTAATAAATAGACAATTAAAATAAATTGAAAATGTTTGGCAGCGTTTCCTCGCTGTATTGCGATGCTTATTCGTTGAGAGTGGATAGCACCAGCTCTGGGGTCACAGGTACTACCAGGCACCACTTGAACCTCACAACCCAAGAGTCTCTACCCCAAATTCTTTTGTACTTTTGTATATTTGTGTGGACGATTATTTTCCTTATAAAAAAATATCTAACACGCCCTATAGTCTATGTATCAAGAATGTTTTTATACATACATATAAACATTCTTAATTGATTGATAAATTGAGATTTTATTGACATATTCCCTTAATTAAAACTAATTGTACTTATTTAGAAATACATAAGTTTTTTTCCCTTATATTATGCAAACAGTTAAAACATATTAAGATAGCAATTTTAACGTCAAGCGAATTTTATTAACATGGTAATGTAATATCAAGGAAAATAGTCTTTATGATTTATAAACGTGTGAATTTGTTATAGTGATTTATTTTTTTATATATTTTAGTTATTATAAAGATTTATTGATTATTTTATTTTCCAGTGAGTATATTTATATATTAATACATTCAAACATTATACAAAAAACAAACTCTCACAGGCAACTGAAGGGAAGGAAAGATATACAGTGGCGTCTCACGGTGTTGGGTTCATATCTCGGGCACAGGGGGATTGTGAACTACAAAAATACTAATAAATGATACCTGTGTTATTGCAGGAAATGGACTTTACAATATTTTGCTCGTGGCTACGTGCGGACTGATACTCCTTGGTATCGGTGCTGATCTGTTTGGGTTCAGTCTCGTGGTAGCTGCTGCCTGCGACCTCAATTTATCAGTCAGTCAGAAAGGCATTCTCACTTCATTGCCCTTCATTGGTAAGTTATTATTTTACTCCTATTTGTAATTTACAAAATACTGAAACATAGAGATGTAAACATAAAGATCGACGAATAATAATAATCCTAGCTTATTTATTTTAAGACCTGGGTAAAAACTTAAATTAAAACATACATTAATAATCCTTAGTAAAATGTATCATTCAATAATTATAGTGAATGCATCTGTATAAATAATAATCAATCATTATTTTTACAAATTTTGTATTTGTTTTAATAATTAAGTATTGTTAAAAAGTATTCTTATTTGCGTATTTTGACAATGACGTCTGTGCATATATCGTGAAATATGATTTTATATGAAAATTATGATTTTATATTCAATTATCAAATATCATATATATAAACAAAATGTTAGTTTTTGCATTACCTACTTGATTTGGTTCATAAAGTACAAAGATTTGTACAATTAATTTCTATAAATTGCGTGTCCCAGGAGAATGTAAGTGCTCCTATTTCACCATGCCTTCTGCTGATAGAGGACAAATCTTTGTTTTTAATTTATTTTATTATTATTTATTACTTAAGATGTCACGTGGAACATGGTGTAATGGTTGCAGGTCCTTACAAACGTTGTGTAAAACAAAAAATTTGGCGATTAAAAAGAGTTGTGGAGAGTTTATTGCCAGTTCTTCTCTTTCGACCTACGCCCTTGGCAGCATAAAATTATAAGCATTTAATGTATATTTTTTTTTTGACGTTCATAAGTGTACATTGTGTTACCTATATGAACAACATTATTTTTAACTTTGACTATTTATAAAAAGTTTACTATTGCTGAACAATAATGTATAACATTTTATAAACATAAGACGACAGAAACTAAAAATCGTAGTTTTAAAAGCTAGAAACAAGAAATATAAATATTTTTAATGCCAAATCACATCTGAACTTGGTAATGCAAGCATTCTAATTGTTTTCAGGCATTCTTCTCGTGTCGTATCCGTGGGGTTACGTGGCAGATACGCGCGGACGCCGGTTCGTTCTCATAGTGTCTGTCCTGACGGCATTTGTTTTGTCCTGCCTCGCTAGTCTTGCCACTAATTGGATACTACTCGGCCTGATCAAGTTCGTGTCTGTTTGCTTGTAAGTTTCTCACATTATCTTAACACTAATATTAATCACAAAGGTATCGGCGTCAGGAGTCAACCGTGTCTGGGTCATCGGGGTGCTTTTAAATAATAGAGGATTATTTTTACTCTATAATGAACACTCGAGTACAACAATAGAAGATAGGTGAAATAATGAAAGGTTAATTGCTATGTAACGAATGAATGCAACGTAACAGTTGAAGAGAGTGCCTAGTGTGTAGAGTGCCCTTTGAGTTTGAGCTATTTAGAACTAACTCATTTCGTGATTGTGTTCTGATAATTGAAATAATCATAACGCTGAAATTTATCATTGAATAATTTATATCGGTTTAAATTTTCTGTTACCTACTATAAAACAACAACTATACACGTGCTTAAAACATAAAATTAAAAACACGATCTTGACATTCGTCTCCGGAACATTCTCATCAATAAAGTGGGTCGAATTAATTCCTACATTCTTACACAACATACTAAATATGATTAATTTGTTTTGCAGCAAAAAATTAATTGAAATTGAATATTCTATTATTTTACGACTTTGTATCGTGCAGTATACAGCATTTAGGGCGTAAATAATATACGTAGGTGGAATTTAGAGGGCAGGCAGGAAGCAGATAATTCACAACTGAGCGTTTCTTAAGGCAGTTTTTGCCGCGCACCACCACTATGTGGAACCATATAACTGTATTTACGACCAATTCGACTTAGGGTCCTTTAAGAAAAGAGCGCACCAATTCTTAAAGGGCCTGCAACGCACTTGCGAGCGTTATAGCAATGTGAGTAGCAATGAGCGGCGGTATCACTTAACATAAGGTGAGCCTCCAGCCCGTTTTCCCTTTTTTGGAAAAGGCCGGAAGATGCCTTTACCCGTTCTGACATTGGTCTGAGGAGTTTGCACATTTGTATAAATAAATAAATATAAATATATTAATAGGCACATGGATTGTATTTGCGCTAATTAAACAACTTATCAGGTTTCATAATTGTTTCTTAGAATAGATCTTAATTTCCGGTTATTAAAATATTTTAGCTCCTGCGCAGCAAACTCAGCAACGTACACACTAGTGGGGGAATCCTGTATTGCACGCGTTCGTAGCAAGTACATGCTTATAATCACATGCCTTATTATTGTCTCACCAGCAGTCGCAGCCAGTAAGTACCACCATGTAGTAAGTACTGCCATATACCACCTGCTGTTTCTTTAGTGTATATCCACCTTCTTAGTTGTCTTCCTCTTTTTCGTTTGCTGTACCTTGGGCACCAGTTTAGAAGTTTTTGCTCCACTTTTCTGTTCCTCTTGCCATGTGACCCACCCATTACCACTTTAGTTTATTTATTGTTATTGTAACATCTGTTACCTTAGTTATTTTTCTTAACGCTGTATTCTTTTTTTTGTCTCTTTTTTCCTTCGCTATCATACATCGTTCCATCGCTCTTTGACACACCTAGCTTCTTATTAATGATAGGTAAATAATTCTTGGCAGTGATGAGCAGTGTTGGCCTAGTGGCTTCAGCTTGCGACTCTCATCCCTAAGGTCATAGGTTTAATCCCCTCAGCTGTGCACCAATGGACGTACTTTCTATGTGCGCATTTAACATTCGAACGGTGAAAGAGAACATCGTGAGGAAACTGGCTTGCCTTAGACCCAAAAAGTCGACGGCATGTGTCAGGTATAGGAGGGTGATCATCTACTTGCCTATTAGATTCACAAATAATCATGAAACAGATACAGAAATCTTAGACCTACAATGGTAGCGCCACTGATTTTTTTTTAAATAAATCTAAGACACAATTTCAGTAACATTTCAAAACTTTATACATTCTAACAATCTTAAACAACATCTCAACCTGTCTTTTAATGGAAAATATTCTTATTATGCAACAATAGTTTAAGTATTATATAAATAGTTGAAATTATTGTGTTAAATGGAAGAAACTAGCTGCCCAAGACACAGGGAATAACACGACTCCCTATAGCTACATTATTATTTATTAGTATGGTGGCTAGTGCACTTCTTTTTTAGTATGTATAATAAAGTTTTTTATTTCCTTTTCATTTCTATATTTTATTAAAAATTAAAAACTTTCTTTATTTTAGTACTTACATACCCAACACTTCTGCTCTCGTTCAAGTGGAACATACCATTATTGGGAATTTCATTCACACCGTGGCGATTTTTAAACATCGTTCTGGCAATACCGGCTGGATTAGGAGGGGTGGCCATATGCTTTTTTAACGAATCACCAAAGTTCCTTGCAAATTGTGGGCGGAAAGAGGAAGCAGTTTCTGTATTGAAATCGATTTATAGGATAAATCACGGAAAGAATAAACATGATTTGCAGGTGAGCACAATCTTTAATTGTCGTGTTTCTTTGTCCGTCACTCAGGTCAAGAGACTTGTGTCACTGATAATATTTCAAGCAAGTATGATTAGTTAGTTTACTGCCTCCGTAGTTATGTTGACGACTGAAAGATCATCGGACGACAATGCGAAATTCCACCCGTATCACCTCGACGTCCGTCGTTTCACAACTGAGCGTTATTTAAGGCAGTTTTTGCCGCGCCCCACCACTATGTGAAACCAGCTGCCGACTGCAGTCCGTACCAATTCGACTTAGGGTCCTTCAAGAAAAGAGCGTACCAATTCTTAAAAAGCCGGCAGCGCACTTGCGAGCCCTTTGACACTGAGAGTGTCCATGGGCGGCGGACATTAGGTGAGCCTCCTGCCTGTTTGCCCCTTGTTACATAAAAGAAAAGGTTGTTGTATTGACATAACGGATTTTTTATTTATTAAAAATAAAGTTAACAAAACAAAACGTTTTGAAATAATTAGAGTTAATTTAGTAAACCATTTAATAAGCCTAAATTTAATTTCAGCTATCAACCTTAGTGATAGAGGATGTCGCCTCAAAAACGGATAAGTCTCTCTTCCGCGCCATGCAAGAGCAAAGCTCCCCTCTATTCAAGCCGCCTCTTCTATTGCGGACCGTGCAACTTTACTTCATTGTCTTCGTCGTGTACATGACGTGAGATAGAGGTTTTATTCTTAATTTAACTTAGTTTATAAAGCTAAGTAACATCGCGGATTTATATTTCCTTGTTTTTAATGCAAATACTTAATATGTACATATCATTCATCTCCTTCTTCTAGAACCAAAATAATAATTGTTATCTGCTAAAAAGGTTGGTAAAGAAGCCGGTGGTTACTTAATATTAGATTAGACCCACGGGCATGAGTTAATTTAGGGGGAATAAAAAAATATTGTAGTGGAGAATCAAGTTTTATAGACATGAGTTCCATTTCATGTGGAGTAAAGGTTGGAACTCCATAGAAACATCTTGTCATATTTCAAAAACTGGCGGAGCCTTTCTTGCCAGTTCTTCTCGTCCGGTCTACGATATGATTTTAAAACATGCAGTTAATAAATATAGTATTAGTAAATCTAGAGTTAATTAACTACAAAAATAATTAAACATTAATAAAAACTAAGTTTGGTCCCTGTGGCAGTGTACCTTTAACGCTATTCGTTGGCGAGGAAACCACCAGCTCTGAGGTCACCGGTAGGTACTATCTACCAGGCGCCAACTTAAATCTTTAATTACTAATTTAATCTGTGCACTTGAACCCCAGGGCCCAAGAGTCTCTATTCCAAATTAATAAGTTAATTTCATAAGTGTAAAATAAGTTACTATGTATAACAAAAGAAGTAAAGTCACTTAGATGTCCCAAACTTATAGCAAAAACATAAAAATCTTGGATATTTTTTGTTCTTTCACGTGCCATGTTTTTTTCTTGTAATCGTATTCACTACTTTAATTTATAAATAAAACATTTATTTCAGTAACAATAGTTTCCTCGTGTGGCTCCCATACATTCTGAACCTTGTGAGAGCTTCCCTGGAAAAGACCAGCGATTTTAACAATCTCTGTGAGCTGATATCAACACATACCAGCAATCAAACCTATATGCATGATGATAACTCGACTGAGGTTTGTTTGTCATTATTATAGAAAATTATGTTTCCGACAGAACTTAAACTATATTTAAAAAAATAATTACAAATTTACTATCTAAAATGTTTTTGAAAACTTATAATAAAGGGATGTGTGGATGGTAGACGTTTAAGACAAGACAATTTTGAATAAGCAATTTAGGAAAAATAATCAGAACGGGACAACTTAACTAAACCAGTCTTAGCATCAGACTTCTGTACTTTAGTGACTTCTGCTTCGTGATACTGACAACCCTTGGCCTTGGCTTCAGACTTCTGTAACTGTTTCGTGATTATTTTGATTAATAAGCAAGTAGGTGATCAGCTTCTTGTGGCTGACACACGCCTTCCACTCTTTGGGTCTAAGGCTAGCCCGTTCTCTCACATTAATGAAAGAAAATGCCATTGGTGCACAGCCGGGGATCTAACCTATGACCTAATGGGATGCACGCTTAAGCCACTAGGCCAACGCAGCTCTGTTTCTCTCAATTTTAGAAAACATTAGTAATACTCTTAATCAACATTAATTTATCCTTAATCCCGTGCGAAGTTATAATGGCACGGGAATCAAAACAAAACCTATAACGTTGTATTCCAGGGTCCACCATGTCTTGGCCACATAGAGGAGAACATAATCTTCACTCTCGTCATCTCACAGTTCACTTTCTCGTTCCTGAACTTCGTGATATCCTACCTGATGAAATGGAGACGGCTGGTTCTCCTAAGTATATTAAGCCTCTCAACCCTAAGTGGATTGCTGATCAGTTTTATGCCAGAACCAATATCCAGTGTAGTATTATTTATGATGTTCACATGTACCAATTTGGGTATGGGCATTTTGGCATCGTACTTCGTGGATCTATACCCTACGTCTTGTAGGTTAGTGCCTTTTTAATTTAATTTTAAAATTATATTTGTATTATCAGTCTGAGGCACGCAAAGATGTGTCCCGGCTGGAATTCAATGGATTTTTTTATCTTTATACTTACATTTCCACAGTAGGCTACTTGATAATTATTTGCTATGATCAAATATTTGTGCGTAATTGAATGTTGAATATCTGTATCTCTATTACATATTTAAAAATAAATAAATAAATTAGTGGCGCTACAACCTTTTTAGGCCCGGGGCCATCATTTGTAAATCTAATAGAGATGAGAACAGAGGCAAGTAGGTGATCAGCCTCCTACACGCCGTCTACTTTTTGGGTCTAAAGCAAGCCGGTTTCCTCACGATGTTTTTCTTCACCTTTCGAGCGAATGTTAAATGCGCAATTACTAATTAGAAAGAAAGTCCATTAGTGCACAGCCGGGGATTGAATCTACGACCTGAGAGATGAGAGTCACGCTGAAGCCACTAGGCCAACATTGATCTATTACATTATCTATTTTATAAATTTAATTAAATTACAGGGGAATGGCCACCTGCCTCAGTATAATGGTTGGAAGAACCAGTAGTTTTATTGGTATCAATATCGTCGGGAACACAATTTTTACACATTGTGAAGTAACTTTCTACCTCTGGGCTCTATTGGTCTTAAGTAAGTATTATTACCGTAAAGTCATTTAAATTTAATTTCTAAACAAGTGGCATAATATATCTGTTTTTTTAGGTTTATAGAGTAGAATTTCCCTAATTTTTCAATGTTACATTACAGGTAGCGTTCTCGTGGCGTGGTTTCTTCCGCCAGACAAAGTCAAAGAAATTCCTAGTTAAAATTTTAATCCTAAGTAAAGTAGACATATTTTATAACTAGAACAATTTCAAGTATGAAGCGTTGACGCCTGACTTTTTTGTCCAAACTAATACAATTTTGGGTTGAGGTAATGAAGTGGTATGTCTATGTGCACGCCAGTCTAATGGCCTGTTCTTCATGAAAAGAGACTCATGTATAACTTAACCTAACAAGTTGCAAGAGGTGAATTAAATTTTACTGTAATAGAACGATTGAAATTGACATATTGGAATATATGAAGCTACTCCACCAAGAAGTATATAAGGGGTATATAATATATTTAGTCAGTTTTCCAGTGTAATTTAAGCACGATAATATTAGATTTGTAATAAATACTTTTTTTTTAAACAAAAAACTTGAAAAAACTGTCACTTGCATATCTGAAAGTCATCTACGCAGGTAACACGCTAAGACCCACCACATTTTATATAAAAATTAAGAAATCACATTTATATTATTTTTTAAGTATGCTAATTATAAAGTTAATTGGTTCTATTATATTGAGATTTTGTTAAAAAACGTTAATGTACTATCTGTGATTTAATTTTAAAAGTAAGTTAGAGGTAGAGATACTTGTTAATAAATATTACTGAATTTAAATTCAAATAAAACCAGTGAAAATAAAAAATCTAATGATAATACTTTCGAAAATAATTACATACATATTTATATCCTCTTGGATATTTGAACAAATTATCCAATAAATATTATATGTGCCAAATACTTAATAGAAAATAATAGGAATTAAAACAAATATGAAATAAAGCATATATTAAAATTATAAATGCCTAAGTATTAAATACTTTAATATTACACCTATCACAGTTACTTATTACTAAAACATATTTTAATTAGTTTTAAGAGATCTATGCTCTGAATAAAGCATTATTGTATGTTAACAATACACCTTTATAAAAATAGATATAATATACTCAAATCCAAAGTAATAAAAATGAATAAATGTTTTAAGTAGTTTTAAATCCTGAACTTGGTAAAAACCGATTATTATCAATGGAAACAATTTTATAAACAGTGCAAACAACACTACTAAAATATAAAGTGTAAGAGATTTTTTCAAACGAATCAATATTATTTGATATAGTAGAGATATATAGAAATCTATTACAAATAGTCAATGCTTGCAACACGGCCTTTTTTATACAGAACTGGCCCGACCTTTGGGCACAATCCCATCTGATAATGTGAGATGTGGCCAGTGGCGTAACTATACCATCTGGGGCCCGTGGCAAATCTTCTTATGCAATTCTTTTGATGGGGCCCTATCAGTAAAAATCGCCACGTTGTACTCAGTTTTATTTTAATAAACTTCGAGATTTTCAGCGTACACGTTGTATATGTCCCACTAATGGCCATAGGCCTCCTCTCTTAGGCGAGGGGGAATGGTCTGTAGTCTCCACGCTAGCCCAATACGTACTGGAGACTTCACATTCATCCATAGAACATATATATCTCTTGGTGGTCAGGGGCCCTCTTGGGTCGGGGACCCTTGGCATTTTGCCAGCCCTGCCACCCTATTGTTACGCCACTAAATGTGGCCTTTTGGACGCCTCGCAACCACGTCATCACCTTATAGACGTAATGGTTTTACATATCCAGTTTTATCTAATTCCAAGCAGCCATGTTTAGAAAGCTCTTTTTATTTATTGGTGTTATTATTATAATAAAATAAGTTATAATTTTTCTAAAAGTTGCTACATACAAATTAAAATTGATAATTTCATACTAATTTCATAGTGCTCCTAAATAATTGTGATTGATACTTTACTATATACAAGTCAATATATATATATGTACAGTCAAAACCGTTTTTAACGACCTCGTTTTCCCCGCCCCCCCGGTTTTTTCCCCCCCGTTGGGGGGGGCCCCCCCCCCCCCCCCTTCCCCCTTCCCTTAAAGGGGGCCCTTTTCCCCCCCCCGCCCCGGGGCCGTCTCCCCCCCCCCCCGCTTGTTTTTTTTTTTTTTTTTTGGATATAGACCAACCGCTTTTTGTCTCAGTAAAATTATAGCAATACAAACGATTTTAAATTTTCATTTGAATTTTGAATTGATTGAATATTTAGGCATTCTTACTAAGCATTTTCTCCCGCCTCATCCGAACCTCCCGCCATTACTTGCATACTTTAACCTAATTACTGCGTTAGTACAGTTTTTTTCAAGACTGTGCAATTGTGATATGTGTCTATCGCAAAAAGAGTGTTTTCTATGGTATTCATTATTGGATAAAAGCAAATATTTGAACTCGGCTAAAAACACAAATTTTACGAATGGTAAATATTTTATTAACTACATTATCAAAAACCCTATTCAGATAGAAACTCTATATTATCTTTTTACTTATTTAAGTCATGAATTATTTATATATATATGTATATTTTTTCTAAAATTATAGCAATAGCAAACATTGAATACATTTTCTAAAAGCATTTTATCCACACATGCCCAATTCGTTCGTATTCAAGAAATTGGTGTGTCAGATATGGTTCATTATTTACTACGAATCGGTTTCCGAATGGTGAAATATAAACATTTATCAAAAATACAGAGGACTCTAAATTATCTTTTTACTTATTTAAGTCATGAAAAACGGCTTATTTTGTACAAAAGAGCCAACACCACCAGTTTGACAAAGTATAAAACGCTTTAGTTATACACGGCCCTATTATACATTGTCAAACCCATGGCTGAAGATTTATACGCAAAAGGCACTTGGTTCAATCAGGTTCTAGATCCCAATTCAATGGCTATAAATACTGTCTCCGATAAACTATCAGAATTATTACTACATATGTGTTGATATGTATCGTTCTAAGCCGAATGTTTTATCTGTATCCGTCTTTTCTTCTTGGTCCTTCGTCTCTTCTAGTTTTATCATCATTATGCCACCAATGGATACTGAAACAATGTATTTTACTATAAATTATTATTAATCATAACTAGCTATGAGAATAACTACTAGCATTGTATCGAATAAAATCTATATATTTATGTAGCCAACCTAGAAGTATAAATTCTTGCAAACCCAACACATTTCGGGGATTATTACAACTGTTATATGTATAGCCAAGTAGCCTGCCAGTCGGGTTTAATACCGAAGAAGAAGAAAGAAAAACCGAACATACGACCTTGGAATGGAGTTATTTCTTTTGTTCATTGATTGACCTTAATTACAAAGCTACTTTTAAAAGCTTAATCTATAAAAAAAATAGGAACTCACCAACAGCTTTCTGCAAATTTGAGTAATTTACAGATTGAACTATTACTACATATATTTGAAAAAAAAACATGCACGGCACTTCAAAGTTGTTTTATCGCATATAACAGTGCTATTATCAAATCCTCTGTTAATATATATAAGGATATATGCATTTAATATAGGGGACCCTTATTCAGAATTTATTACATTTATAAGATAGGAATTAAAAGGCATACATGCGGATAAATTTGCGCCTGAACTAATTTATATATTGCTTCTGCAAAATTGGCTATAAATATTTTGCCAGGCGCAATAAAATATAGGAAAACAGTTTTACTGTTCATACATATACGTAATTATTTATAAGTATTATATATAAGTATTTATAATATCACACTTGTAAAATCATTATAATGTCCACGATTAAAAACTTAATTAATTTATAATGACATATAAAGTCTTGGTAATACATACGTGCTAGTAATGCAGCAACCGACACGAACGGTGCTGGGCAGGAGTAGTCAAGCAACACACCCACAGCAAGGTTGGAGGCAACTCCTCCAGCGCGACCCCACCACGCACCCCAGCAAACTCCGAGACCACTGAAAAATAACAAAATCACTTTTTAAGGATTTATTTTACATACGAATATTCTCTCAGGTGATACATGCATTCTCTCTCAAATAGACATAGGTTATTGTTTTATTTATAAAACTATAATTATGATTTTTAATTAATTAAGGACTATTATAATTATATATTTTTCTTATCATATTTTTTTTTATGTAAACAGGCAGGCGGCTCACTTGATGTTAAGTGATACCGCCGCCTATAGACACTCACATTGCCAGAGGGCTCGCAAGTGCGTTGCAGGCCTTTTATGAATAGCTCGCTTCTTAATGGACCCTAAGTCGAATTGGTTCGGAAATACATCGGTAGACAGCTGGTTACACATAGAACCATACTTATCAGACCTTTGAAATCAAATAATTTTTTTGTATAATTTATATTATGGTCATAAAATCTTGAATATATGTAACGGAATAGCGCTAATTCGTAGGAATGTACTGTCTTGTTCTCTGAGCAGTTGATCTAAAGATTAGATCAAACGTATTATCTAATTGGGTCATTCAACAGGATGAGGTTAAGAAGGACGTTAAAAGTTAATGAAAGAGTTAACTGTTTCATACCATGACTTTCACTTACACCGCAAAACAGAGTTTATGTGAATCCACAACAGTTTTACTAAACAAAAACGTAAAAAATACTGAAGTATATTTTGCATGAAGATATCTGACCTTGTTAGAAATATTTATTTACTTTGAAATCTCATGAAACAGCATCTTTCTATTAATAAAATAGAAATAAATAATAGTATTTTACAATTCACAAAAGTCACGTATTGGTTTTGATTTTTACAATCATGTAATATCTATTGCCAAATAAGAAAGTAAACTAAATTTACCTTAGTTTCGCTGGTAGCGCATGTAACAACAGCCTTATAAGCAGGACATTGCCGTTTAATGATGCAGCATTCAATGCTGCAGCCGCCGCAACAGCAATTTTACTTGACGCAGTACATGCACACACACAGGCTGCCAAACAGGCACACGCGAGTGCGCAAGCTAATGTGCAAATGGTAGCGGCCCTTTTGACCCCCTGGCCCCCACCACGGGAGGATATTAGGGCACACGCTGCGTTCCCAAGGACACAGCAAGCCCCCACAATTAAGCCAGAAGTAAAAACCTAAAAAAAACAAAAGTTTGAGATGATTTATTCAAATGTTTTATATCGTATAGTTCATTCTTTGTTAGTGTGGAAATAACAAATCCGATATTTTCTACTATAAAAATGTCAAATAGTATAATATATGCTAAAATTTGTAAGTTAATTAGCCACGAACAGCTGAAGTTAAGGTAGTATTGAAGGTAGTTGAGTTCCTTAAAATATCTCCCTTTCGTTGAAAGTGATTGCAAATGGAACACACCGTATTACACGAGGTTTTGTGTTGGCCTAGTGGCTTCAGCGTGCGACTCTCATACCTGAGGTCGTAGGTTCAATCCCCGGCTGTGCACCAATGGATTTTCTTTCTATGTGCGCATTTAACATTTGCTCGAACGGTGAAGGAAAACATCGTGCGGAAACCGACATATCTTAGACCCAAAAAGTCGACGGCGTGTGTCAGACGCTGGAGGCTGATCACCTACTTGCCTATTAGATTTAAAAAAATATTACGAAACAGATTCAGTTATCTGAGGCCAAGGCCTAAAAGAGGTTGTAGCGCCACTGATTTTTTTAATCAGAGCAGAGTATATGCCTCGAGTGGGGACGTGGTGCCATCTTGACTTTGGATAGTGCGTTCAGGAAACGCGGGGTAGTACTGATTGAGTATTCAGTGGAGCATTGTAGTGATGAGAGGACCGAGTTGGGTCTAGTAGATAGTGATTAAAAGTTAAATCGGTGCCCTGGACCCGCTGCTCGTTATAATTTAACCTAAGGTGTTAAAAGAAATCAATAAATTATTATTATTATAATATTATTAATCTTAATTAAATATTGTACGATAATTATTCGTGTCCCTTTATGCTCGCACTTTACCCACATAACATCCACTAAACCCGCTAATGACGATATTAATATCGATAGAGTGACGATATTTCTCCGATATATACGATATACCAATGACGCTACAACCTTTTTATATCTGGACCTCAGATTTCTGTAACTGCTCCGTGATCATTTCTAATAGGCTCATTGGTCTAGTGGTTAGTACCCATGACTGCGAATCCAAGGGTCCCGGGTTCGATCCCCGGCTGAGACGAACATCGATGTGATGAGCATTTGGTGTTGTGCTTAGGTCTTGGGTGTTTAAATATGTATTTATATGTCTATCTATCTATAATATGTATGTTTATCCGTTGCCTAGTACCCATAACACAAGCTTCACCAGCTTAGCATGGGACTCGGTCAATTGGTGTGAATTGTCTTTAAAAAAAAAAAATAATAATAATAATAGGCAAGTAGGTGATCAAGCAGCTGTGCCTGACACTTTGGGTCTAAGGTGAAGGTGACCAAAATATACTAAATAAATATTAGGTAATTACATAATACTCACAGATTCGTCTATACCCCCGTGACACGGTTCGCGAGAGTCTTCAAGCTTCGTACTTCCATTGTACCTGTCCACTTCGGTAGCGAAATTATCGTAAATTTTAGGCAAATCTTTCCAAGCTATGTTGGTAGCATTGAACAGTTTGGCTGGCTCAGGTAATGATGATTTACAGTCCTTGCCTTGCATTCGAAGAAGCAATTCTGGGATCCAAAGGTTGAGGCCGAAACCACTTAAAATAAAGAATAATAAGAACAACAACCTATTTTCTACGAAACAAATTATTATGGTTGCAACGGGCGTCTCATCGCTATCAAGCGATTTCTTCCAGGCAAGCATAGTAAGGAAAAATACTAAGGGTAAAAGGAGAAGAAGTACAACAAAATATACAAGTTATATGTAACTTGTGTGCTATGCGTAACTTTTTTGTAATAAGTATCATTATAGTTAATTAATTTGGAAATCATTTACCAGAAGATTACAGTGACATTATAAACTTCCTTTCCTTTATTCATAGAACAGAAGGCAAACGGCAGGAGACTCACCTGATGTTAAGTGATACCACCGCCCCTGGACACTCCCAATGCCAGAGGGCCCGCGAGTGCGTTGTCGGCTATTTAAGAAATGGTACGCTCTTTTCTTGAAGGCCCTAAGTCGAATTGGTTTAACATAGTGCGTGGCAAAAACTGCCTTAAAAATGCTTAGTTGTGGAACCACGGACATCGAGGTTACGGTTGAAATTTCGTGTTGTGCCTCGACGTCCGATGATGAAACCCAGCTGCAGGTTTATCCGAACAACTCTGAACCTCTGAACACTCTCCATAATAAATGTGGATTTATTTTATTAATAGGTAAAAACACGCATGATTTTTTATTTGCATATAACATCTTATAATGCAGGAACTATCTTATCCAATCGAGTTGGTGGTCGGGCTAATTATGGGACTTAAAATTAAATTTTAAGCTATTGCATAGATTTTAACGCAGGCTTTGAGCGCGGCCACCAAATCAAGAAATTCCGTAACAAAAATAAACCGAACACACGATGACGTAATATAGGTGCGGCCAATACGCGTTAGAGCGGGACAGAACGCATACTGCGTCTCACATCGGTCTGGCGTGATCGGTGACGTAGCGCAGGTGCGTTAGAGTGGGACAGACTATATAGGCGTGTAATTCTAAGTAAATATAAATAACAAATAAATAAATAATTATATTTGCATAAGTTGATAAAAAATGCTATGCTTTACCGCGGCAGTCCCCGAGTGCCACACGTTTTTTTTTTATTTAGAATTAATGTAAGTAGGTTTTGTTCTTGGGTAATCAGAGCTTTAATTATTTTAGGGTCTGCTCAGATTCCTTTTAAAACTTGATTACCAGCTGCCATACTGTACCTACTCTAGCTTGATTTCATTCATCAACTTTATCACTATCTACAGCTGGGGTTTATTTATTAATTCGTTTTAATACTGGTAAGTTTTGGTATCGATTACATAATTGTACTTAGTAGGGTGGGATGTTCGATCATTTTTTTTTTATGCAAGAAAAATTATTCATTTAGAAGTGAGTCTGTTTCATTTATACGAACCTGTAATGTGGCTACGTAATTAATAATTAATAAAAACTACTTACGCTGCCATATTCGCGAAGAAAATGAATAAAATAAGAGAAGACTTCATTGCGTATGCCTTGGATACAAACAGTTTCAGATCTTTCAGTACGCTTACAAATAATGCTTTGGTTCTACTCTCTTCTCCGCTTAGAGATTTAGTCACAAATATGTTGTCTTGAATTATCTTCTTTATCTGGAAAGGAAATAAGACACCTGTAATGCAAGTTGGCCGAGGATTCATTAAGCGAAAACAATATGTTCATGAAATCATCTCAAATAAAACTAGCCTACTGACTTGACTTGTTTAATCTATCGCGGAATTTTATAAGGAGTATTAAGAATATCCATAGCGCTGAAACCCTGCATCATGAGCACACCACACATACAAGCCCTCATTTTCACACCATCACACAACACAGCCGAATTAGGTATTACGTATTAAAGAATATTTATCAATCTTTTCCTTTGGTAATTTTTGAACCTTTTTGTATATATTATGTATTCTACCTTTGGATATATAATATATATGTTAAGTATAATTGTTTTTTGTTGTATACAATTTATATTACAGCTAATATACGAAATAAATAAATATAAGTAAAGAGTTTTTTGCTTTTCATGGCCCCAGTGAAATGACTTTACAACGTACCTTAAACTGAGTCTCAGAACCATTATTCTTCTTGTTGATATGCTTCAAAATGATCAAAGCCTCATCAGCTCTATTTGTATCAGTCAAAAGTCTAGGGCTTTCGGGCAAGAAGATCAACCAAAGGCCTGCTATGAACCCGGGTATGCTTCCAACAGCAATATACAGCCTCCAGGAATGAGTGGGGAAGATTGTTGATGCTCCAACGTTGAAAGGAATGACTAGCCATGCTACAGCTGTGAATTTAAATATTATTGTGTATAAAATGAACAAACATACCTACTAGCTTATAATTAAAACTATAACCAAATATCTATATCTCAACGCAATGCGTTGAAAATAGCGTCGCCATTTGATAGTTATGATGTATGGTAAGACTGATAAAATTGACAAAAAAAATATTTTTTCAACTTCAATATTTCTTTATTTGTGTAATTATCACTGAAGTGTTATCTACAAGAGCAGTATTGGCCTCGTGGCTACAGAGTGTGACTCTCATCCCTGAGGTGTAAGTTCGATCCCCGGCTGTGTACCAATGAACTTTCTTTCTATGTGCGCATTTAACATTCGCTCGAACGGTCAAGGAAAACATCGTGAGGGCCTCAGACCCAGAAAGTCGATAGCGTGTGTCAGGAGGCTGATCACCTACTTGCCTATTAGATTGAGAAATTATTATTATTTAATAGATATATAAATCAGAGGCCCAGACCTAACAAAGGTTGTAGCTGATTATTGCCACTGATTTATTTTATATCACAGAAAACATAGATGCATAAATATATAAACTATTATACTATTCATTAAGAGATTTAGTTTAAAAAAATCTTAAACTAGGATTCAAGAGCATAGAAAGTCTAGGTTACCTAGATATTATTGTATCAATAGTCAATACGCTCAATCGCAAATGAAATGCAAAGTTAATATTTTTTGATTACACTGACATTTCTCTTCGTAATCGTTAGTCTAATAGATAGATGCGAGCCCACTCACTTGAAAGCTACGCCAATTAGTTATTCATATGATCTTAACTTTTTGCTAAAACAATGATAGATAATAGAATATAAATTATTCTTGTTATAGGTACATAACTGAATGATTTTTTATTTGTATATTTCGACAGAATAATATAATCTACATCTTGGTATATTACATTCGAAAACCACTAAGTCCACCAGTCGTTTGCACTAACTGACTGGTAGTCCATTTATTAGTAGCGACGTTCTCTCCACATAGACGTTGTTTGCTCTCGAAGTACAGAGCCGAAGTTGCGTTACAGCTCGGGTCTGAACGTCATGCTTAACTCGTTTTTTAATTGAATTCTATTGCAAAAATCGCATTGAAAATCTATACAAATATAGTAAGAGAGACACAGCTAATACTACGCTCCTGTACTTATAAAATCTTTAACGATGCATACAAATATTTAAATAAAATTAAAAGAAATTCGGCGTAGTTACAGCAACATCTTAATGTATGATTGATTTACCGTTGAACGGGTCAGCAAGTGCCGAATTATATTACTAGAAAGTCCTAGATCGCTGTTTGACTGACAGCAATGTTAATATCTACTTTTTATGTGATTACTAATCTGTGTATGATTAACTGTTAATATGATTTATGCATTCAATTTGGATTGGACTGTATTGGATTTAACTGTAAAAAATTTGACTAAAGCCTGTCAGTTCTATTAAGCCCAGATTTAAAATTAATTGTTATAACAATGAATGATGAAGATAAGAGTGGATTTTTCTCTTTTTTATTTATATTTTTATGAAAATCTACCGTATTATATTGAACCTGGGCCTCAGCAACAGCCGCTTCTATAAGTCTTAACACTATTTATTTTGCTCTTTCGATATTTGCCGAATTGACGAATTCAAATGTGACAGTATTATTATTTATCTTTCATAGATAGCCCTTTATCTTCAACCACTTTCTTATAAACAAAATTTTCACTATAGATTTGAAACTTTATACATATACTAACAATCTGAAGGAACATCTTCTCAACCTGTCCTATGCTGAAACGAAAAGTATTCTTCTTATGTAACAGTAGTTAATAATTAAATAATTAATTATAAAATCTAGAACTAAAACAATTTATAATATGTCAAATTAAGTATTAATATTTAAGTAACATAACAAGTTTGTTTTTGTTCTTTTCTGAATATTTTAAGTAGGTACAGTTTAAATTTCATGACCTTTTTTGTATGGTCTATTCGATTTCTATTCAGTTCAACGAGCAAAACATCCAGTTATGTATTTTTATTATATATGTAATTCTGCAAGAGACAAATAACTAAAGTAATAAGAATTAAAATTTACCTGGTAATATGAGCCAAGCCGCGACAAAACTCATACCAACTATGTCCAAATAAAACTGGCGTCTCTTAACACCAACCAGGTCAGATAGATATGTGAACACCAGTGTGGAAGGCGCACCTAAGAAAAATTACAAATTGTATAATGGTTACAATAAAACTGTGAGGAAATATTGGTGGACATTTTGAGCAACTCCATGGAGAACTTTCTCCGATTCGTTTTAGAAACCTTACTGTGTTATTTGCTATTATTATTATTCTCTGTATTCCTACATAATTATGTATTTACAGTGTATTTTCGACTTTTCATGCGACTTATTCAATACAAAGGTTCCCCTCGGGAGTTGAGGGCTGAGATATTGCGGGCTACTCCATTGTGATGAAGTTGCATGGCTCTAGTTAGCACTGCGCCTTCTGAACTTCTCATGTTATTTTTACACACGTATATCCTTTCTATAACATATTTTCATATGTATTTCATTGTCCTCCTTGTAACAAGTTTGATATTTGAGAACAAAACATTATTTTTTTTGTACCGGGGCAGGAGGTTTACTGATGAAAAATTTTTGTATGAACAGAAGGCTGACAGATTTTTCGTAGTAATCTATACATATGTGCATACACAAACGAATTTTAAATTGGCGTATATGTATGTCAAACTCATAGTAGACCTACTGATGTTCAACGCCGAATTCTTATTTTATTGAAGGACAACCCCCCTTAAAATAGCAGTTGAAAACTACCATATATTAATATTTTATATACATAATTTGATCTATTGAAAAAATATGTTGTATATATAATAATACCTGGCAATGGTATTAAATAATAAGATTAAGCCTAAGTGTTTTAAACTTACCAATTAAAAATCCGTTAATAGATCTAGCAGCTAAAAGCAATCTGTAGTCCGTTACAGTACTCTGGGCCAGCAATAGAGCAGAATCTACGAGGAGTGTGATACTGAGTATATTTTTTCTGCCAAAAACATCTCCTACAATGCCCCAGAAAAATGCAGACGCTACGCCACCTGTGGAGAAAACGTCTTGTTCAGGGCTATCAAGAGACAAGTGAATATAAACTTAATGTACTTCGTTCTTCTGCTGTCGTAATGTCACTTTGTCCTTGAAACTGTTAAAATTCTTATGTCAATCCTCGTTTACAGGAACTTCGGAGTAAAACTAATCTAATTACTGACTAACTATTGATTGAGCCATAAGTTAGACTTCGATATGTTAAAAATGTATTGGGTTTGGCTTACAAGAATCAAAATTAGCAAGAACTATCTCTAAATGTATTCCTAATACATTATATACAATTAAAATTTAAAATATTAACAAAAATGTAAAAGATTTTGGTTAAAAAAAAATAGAGGTTGAATAATATGACGTAATAATTACAAAATAATAGTAAAATTAGCACTCAAGTGGGTATTGTGAGCCAGATCAAACATGCCTTTTAAGTAATTCCGTATAATCCGAATAAACAGAAATTCCCTAATAGGAGTTATTAGCATGTGTATAATAAAATTGATAGAAAACAGTTGAACTGTTTAAGTCCTATAACAGTAAAAATATTGAACAACTTTATTTATTAGTAGCTGCGGCCTATTTAATATAGTCTAGCCTAGTTTTGACGTGACCATGCCCCAGCTGCATTCAGCGGTGGGGGGTGGTAACTGGTAATATACTACGATTTAAAAATGTATTATTATTAAATGGATAGCAAAATGTTTTCTGTTGATTTTATAAAAAAACACTTCATGCAAGCAAAGCAAACCAGCGTACGGCTTAAGGCCCTATCCCAGCACGAATTGCTGTATCAGTGTCTCGGGGTGGACTGCGAGGCGCAGTGGAGAGCTGGGGCATTGAGGCGCGCCGGCCCGTAATAACAATTATGTAAAACATTAAATTAATGTAATTTTATCATTTTTTTCTGAAATGGATTACTTAGCTTGCGATAAAATATATCATGTAAATTTCAAAATCATGTTCTCTATATACATTTTCCTCATAAAATCAATTCGAAGTGTCAAAAATTGGCTATGTTTGGACTTTTTTTCTATCGAGCGAAGTTATTTAAGTCGTGTATCGATCTTTTAAAATGGATACATAAACTACTCAACTCCACCATATATTTTACCCATTCGCCGAACTTCGAGAAACGATGACGAAAAATGGAAAGAAACAATGTACTTTTTTGGAGTTTGGCGACCCGAGAGGTCCTTAAAGGGCAGTTATCGGAGCCCATGGCCGCCCATTTTTATTGGGTACGAATGAATAATTGTAAACCAAATTAATATAACTTTTAGGTTTTGCGTTATCTACTATATAAAAATAAGTCGGGTTTTCCTTCCTGACGCTATAACTCCAAAACGCACGAACCGATTTCCACGGTTTTGCATTCGTTGTAAAGGTCTCGGGCTCCGTGAGGTTTATAGCAAAGAAAATTCAGGAAAAAATTCAACAGAAAAGCGGGATCACCAAACGAAATGTTACATAAAACGAAGCCATGTGGTGGCGAAACGGAGTTCGCCGGGTTTGCTAGTATAAGGTATAATAGTTCTTAATTTCGCTAACAGACGTCTCAAACGATTGCGTAGTTTACTTCATTTGGCGGAAGGGTTTAATCGGCTATCAATCAATTGATTTAAATTCAAGATAACTGCGACGCGTTTGAGTTCTAGGTTTTCTGAGATACAACCTACATTTCAATTCTCAATGAGTCATATAATATAGCGTTAAAATTATATTAAATTAATATTCCTTTAAATGCAAATTAATATTTTTATAAATGCAAGGGGCCTCTAATGGGAGAATATTTAGGCCATAAGTTTTGACAACAATTATAAAATATTATTATGACAATTTATATAACGTTTGCATGCCTGATGGCTGATTGTGTGGGTTTTTTATAATTAATCAGTCAGAGAAATCAGTGTCAACGATTACTGTAAAGTACCCGAAATGAGTTATGTAAAAGGGCTTTTGTAGTACAGGGCTTCACCATATCTACTCACCACTCATAAAAGCCATGTTAATTAATCCAGCCTGGTACGTGGTCAGTTGGAGCTCACAACGCGCAGCAGGAAGTACGTAAGACATCACGCAGTTCTGCACGCCTGTAGTGAAGAACGCGCAAGCGCACGCCCCTAGGACGCTGCGACTGAAGCGGCCATAACCTGCAATGAATTCCACATTTATAATTTATAGTCTAATAATAATATATTTGATGAACTCATAATACCACATGGGACCCATAATACATACCCTTGACATTCTTGTGCATTACTAACTTTTAGTCGATAGACTTACAAACTTCCTTATTAAAAAATAAAAATTTCCTTTGGGAAAAAGCCAAAAATTTTCATGAACTGATAAATGTAAATTTAGAGACATTCCATATTTTTTTACGTTGATAAGTTTACTAATCTTAGGTATATAAATGAAAAAATATATTTTTAATTTGATTTTCTTTAAAAACCTATATTTACATAACAAAAATGCGTGCGTCACCTAATTTATCCATAGATAAATTAAAAAAAACGAATAACTCAAAGACGGCAGGACCAATTCGAGGGATTTTTATGGAGAGAAAAATTAAAAAAATTGTACGGAAAATCCTCAAAACCTGTTTTTTTTTTACCGGAAAAGCGAACAGTCTCTATGGGGTAGCATAGCAAAAAGTTCCATATGTTGGTATTTAGTTACAAAAAGGTAGGCTAAGTAAATCATATTACGGCTAAACAAAGTTCGCGGGGGCCGCTAGTTTACAATATATTTTACGATTACCGGCCAATTGGGCTGGCAATAAACTTCACCGCATATCTTATTGAACAATAATATATCGAACAATGACACACTCACCGTGTTTAAATAACTAAGCATTGTCTGAGATGACACGCTGATCTAAATAATAATAGTGACAACAAGATTATCAAATGAGATAACGACGTGAGATTTAATTTAATATTATTCATAAAAAAATCAATCCAAGTCGTATAAAAAGAACTCCTTCGTCTCTTTCTGTCAAATTGAGTTTACGCTGATGAAGATTACGAGTACTTTAGTTAAAAGCGTGAAATAAGAATTAGTGTTTATGAATAAAGGAATTGTAAGAGCCAAGGCTGTACATTTTGCTCACTCAGGCTTTCTTGGTTTTATAAGCGTGGTGATTACCTAAATCGTAGTTACGTCCGAGCGTATGGCCAGACGTAGGCACTCTCTTCAACTGTTACATTACATTCATTTAGCATTCGTTGAAACGTAGCTAGAACTGAATAATTTCGAATTAACTTTATTGTTATATGCGAGTGATTAATATATAGTATAAATAATATCCTTATCTAATTAATCAACCGTACAGGGGTTTTCAGATTTAAGTATTTTAATAAATACTGCGGTATGGCTATCCAGGCACCATGTTAATCCCCTCAGTATTTTTTGCCCGTAGTTAATTTTCGTATGTACATAGATATTTATTTAAATTAAAAAATGTATTTACAAATTCCAATCTATATGACTCTATTTCACCGGTTGGTACTCTCATGGAAAGCTGTCAATGGCGAGTGTGGAACAAATTTCGGTGTAAGGTTAAATATTTTTTTGTCGTGGACGAATAGGTAGCAGTCTTTTGTATAAAAAAATACGAATGTCACTGGATTTTTTAACATAAAACCATACTAAACAGTGGCGTAACAATAGGGTGGCAGGGCTGGCAAAATGCCACGGGCCCTCGACCCAAGAGGTATTATGTTCTATGGATGAATGTGAAGTCTCCAATACGCATTGGGCTAGCGTGGGGACTACAGACCATTCCCTCTCGCCTAAGAGAGGAGGTCTATGGGCATCACTGGGACATATACAACGTGTAGTTGAGTACGCTGAAAATCTGGAAGTTTACTATAATTTAACTGAGTACAACGTGTCGATTTTTACAGATAGGGCCCCATCAAAAGAATTTGCCACGGGCCCCAGATGGTATAGTTACGCCACTGATACTAAATTGAAACCAAATAAAAAGTAATTTATAAAAAATTAAACCTACTTGCAATACGTTGAAACCGATTTTGATATCGACAAATATATATTAAACTTAGAAACCTCTTAACATTCAAATATTATCCGATTCCAACAATACAGGGCAAACTAATAATTTCCTTTAAAAGTAGGTTAGAAAAGGATCGAAGGACTGGCATACGTCAAGAGGTGCAGGGTCATAAATAAATATCATCGATACGTATTAACGAGAAGTGCCATAAACTAGCAACTGGAAAGGTTTGTCCATTTTACGACTGAAAACGCATTCCGAGGTCGTGCTAAGGGTCATGAAAACATTTAGTTTGTTTGCCAATGTGAGGTCAGTAGGGCTATTTAGAAAGCTTCTTAGAAACTAACTATAGCACAATTTTATTATATATATAACTATCGCCAGGTGCATTGTTAGATGTTATAAAAATAAAGATTATATTATCGTAAGCTAAAACAGTCAGCTTTAATAAAATGTAAATATTTAAGCTTGATGCAGCGTCACAATGTCAAGGGCAGTAGGAACGTTGTTATTCGTGAAAATTGTTTGTAAAATATTCATTAAAGCAAAATAAAACTTCATCACTATATTTAAACTTAATTGTTTTTTTTGCCCCCAGTAATTTTTTGTTGCAGTTTGTGATGGTGACTCTCATTCCTAATCTTAATCTGACCCATTCACACCCCGGCGTTGCACCAATTCTTTCTGTCGCCAATACACTCGCTCGTACGGTGAACGAAAACATCCTGAGGAAACCGGCATGCTTTGCAAAAATTGACGGCGTGTGTCAGGTCAAGCCTGATCATCTACTTGCCTATTAGAAAAAACAAATGATTACATTTTGATTCTTAATGATTTTTTTTGTAATGCCTCTAAATCTAATTCAAAAAGAAATCTTAATAATGAAGTACCGCGGCCGAGTCTTAGCGCGATAGACTCAAAAATGTAGAACCTATTATAGTTTCACCACTAGCTAATGTATTTCTGAAGAAGGTTTAGGTGTGTATTTAAATATGGCTTTATGTATATAACGATAAATATAGATCGCTAATATCTTACACGATATCTGGGCGAAGCTGCGGGCGGAAGATATAGCTTAAAAAAGGGGTGTGGTTGCGCAATAAGTTAATATAAGATAAGACAGTACAAATCTAGCATAAACTAGGTTTTATCTATGGATACGTGCACTATTTCCGACACACGTGCTGATGCAGCCGTTAATATAAACAAAAAATCCACTATCAATTTTACGTTTCTTTTTTAAGATCTTTCTTTTTAGATTTTAATAACGCGTCAAGTAGGCAAGAGGCATGTTTCTGACATATTTACTCGTTCAAGTATATTTTATTTATATTATAATTAATTTAAAAATGAATTTTTCAAGAGAATATTTGAGTATGATGATATATTTAGGAAGTCAAGAAAATAAATAAAAAGTAGTTGTCCCGACCTACATTTCTTATTTATATAAAGTATTGTAGTGAGTTTTTGTTCTTACATATTGTGAGTTAGGCCCAGAACAAAATTATTAAATTCAGCAGTTTTTGAAGTATTGATTAACACGCGTTTCTAGATAAATAATGCTGACAGATATCTGAAGTATAACTAGTCGAATCTATCGAATGGAATTAGTATAGTAAACTAAAATATTTTTAAATAGGGTAACTTTCAATGTAAAGTGTTTATTTATAAATAGTATAATGCATTGCAGGTTAGAGTGAACGAATCAATTAGTTTTTACACAGTTGTTTGACTCCTAACCAGTTATCTTTAAAAGGGAACACAAGAAAAGCCTGTCACAATTATGTCAGAAAAGAAGAACAATCATTTAAATACCGTTTAATGACGATGGAAAGGATCTTATTGCATCAGCTGTCAAAATGCCCAAGAGAGTTTTTAAAACTTTTGATTGATGGTGAAATGGCTTTATAAATAAACACTGTTAAAAATAAACTCTCAACAATGTTTTAACAGTTGTATACAGTTGCATACAAATATTATGCAGTATATAGAAATTACGTCTCGCAACCACTAATATTACTTATTTCTTGTTTGAAATAGATAAACGCAGTAACTGGACTGATTTTATTGTATCACCGCATTTAAAGCGAGTAATGAGGCTATATAATATTTCGCTAGTAGAGGCGGAGTATCAATGAAAAATGTTGCAAAAACAGGAAAAAATATTTATGAGCATTGAGGGAAAGTTTCTTTGAATGAACGCACTATCTCCGGATCGATCTTAGGAACCATGAAATCGAATTAAACCCATTTGTTGGGATGGATTTATTTAATTTTTATTACTACCGAAATAACATGCACGAATCAAACGGCAAAATATTTTTACGGATTTGTGAGCTTATAATTAGTTTTTATAAGTAGAAAGAGATTTTAGTCCTGCAGTAAAAAGAGATTTGTAAATTCTTAAAGTAAAAAATATTATATTTTTTTACATACATGTGTTTAAAAAATATTTAATATGATTTTAAACTAAGATTGGTTTTGCAAACTCACCGGCTGTGTCTAACGCAGTTTCAAAATCAGCAATTTCCAGCGGTGTTTCTTGTGACTCCCCATTAACTCTCTGAGATGCTGTAATATATAAAAATCTTCAAATAAATAATAAAAATGTTTCTGCAAAAAATCGACTCAACATTTCTTCATTAATCAATATTTTTTATTATTTTAATATTCTTGCATTGTTTTATCGAAATAAATTTAATTATAAAATCGAAGTTTGCCCAATGACCAGTTGCGTTTACAAACTTCACAATTGTTTTATCGCGTTGTTTGGTTCGTGATAAAAATTGTTTAATACACCAAATGGTACAGCTATTCTTTGAACAAACGCTTGAATATTTAAATATATGTTTTCTTTACAGTTCTTATTTATATAAAACAAAAATCTTTCTCTAAAGATAAAGTTTCAGAAACAAAAAAAACTATATAAAATATCAATATCTCTATAATATATCTATAAATAAAAATTGTAATAATTATGAATAATAATCAATATAATTTATTTAAAAAAAAACACACTGCACAAGACGCAGTATAAATAAATAATACAACTAAGATAAACTGTATAATTATTAATAAAATATTACTTACGATTACTGGTCTTTGGCGCTACCTTACACACCATTTTGCCGCTGGTTCACAAACGCATTTACGAAGCCTCCGCGTGCGTGTGTCTCTGCGTCCGTCCAGGCACTGACCGACCATGGCATTGCTACTAATGTTTATCACATATCATACACAGAGAAAGTGTTGTGGATACATAGATCATAAAAGATATCCTTTTGGCCAAACTCAAAATAACTTTATTCATATAGGTAACCAAGTACAATTATGAACGTCATATCCGATGATTTGCGAAATAATATATATGTGTAAGTCCTGTTTCGTGAGACATATAGGACGGTTTAGACGTTGATGAAACTGAAAGGATCCCTGATAATTAAACATATCACTTGTGGCTGTTCTCTCTGGGGCATTCTCAAAGATGCCTTCAAAGAGATTGGATCTGGGTGTAACCTTCGACTTACGGGATTAAAAAGCCTCACTGTTATACTACTAAGAGGCGCTTCCCACGTCCATAGAGAAGATCTTTTGAAGATTTAATGGTCAAAAAGGGTATAAATACGACGCTTGTTGCATATATTGTTATTCCAAGCATCTTGCCGAATATGATTATTTTCTGTTGTTTCTCTTGAGGTAACTCAAGAACATAATCATATAATATATATGTAACGAGGAATCAAATCTTAAAAGGGACTCGTGAGCCTATTGTAAATGTGAATTTCCACGCGCGCTGATATCACTTAACATCAGATTAACCTCCTACCCGTTAGCCCCGTACTATAAAAAATCTTTATAAATTAACGCTTAGGCCAGTTTGTAGACGTCATGACTGTAGCATGAAAAACCGATGTTTTCTATTCACACTATATTTTATTGTACTGTATTGTATAAAAAATATTTAAAATATTTCATGTACTATAAATATCTGAAAGGTTTCTACAAATACCAACGTAATTGCGTTACTTACGAGTAATTTTCATATTTTTCCAACTTTCCACGGTTATCACAAGGTAGAATCGCCATTTTCTCACTTATTTGTTGTTCCGATTCAATTCTGTTAGAAATAGATGCGACACGTGTCTGATAATGAGTTAACATTTGACAGTTGGACGTAAGTAACGATTGACAGAGACAGCTTATCGGCTCGATCTACCCGCAATTAATTCGAAAATGTTTTGTTACCCTCTAAATTAAGATAAGGTGTATAATTTAACTGCACAAAAGTATACATAAATCAATGCTGTTTATTATGAAGTTTGTGAACTCTCTGTTATTATGAACTCTGAGGTAGAACTCTATTTCTGAGGTAGAATCATCTTGTTTTATATTATACTCGAGGTTCTATACAACAATAGGTACATTTCTGTGTCTGTACATTACAGCTTTTGAATATGATGTATTTTATACTTGGTCGAGATATTCAATTTCCTGGACAATTTGAAGAATTCAGTCACTTATAGACAACTTTTTATTTGGGATGCGGTACAAAAGTTATAACGCGTCAACTTAGGGTCGATAAAAAGGGAACTCGTGTGATCGAGTTGTTTTTAAGTATGTGAAGATATGAGAAGATGATAAGAGTACCTCCAAGTCAACAGCGATACTGATATGATGTTCTTTTTCTGTCTGAGTACATACGACAACTCTTTTATGTTCTCGTTCTATATTTCATAGGTTTTTTATACACTTCGTATCGCTTTTAATGGCTTTCGCTTTGTAGATATATATTATTTTTATTTCAGTCTTTAGAATCTAAATAGAAAGAGTAAGTGTGGAGTTCCTTGCCCATTCTTCTTCACACGAAACTACCTTTTGGAAGGGGCAGCTAGATTCATCTTTATATTTATATTGAAATAAATAATTTGACTTGACTTGAATCATTACTTTTTAATGTATGCGTTAAATCCTTTTGTGATTTTGCTATGATTTTTGTAACAGGCGAGTGTAATTATAAAGAGCCAAAAACATTTTCGTCATCTCAAGGTCGATTTACATCAAACGAGCGAATGCTCATTCTATCCCCACTACATCAAATTCTTCTAGTGTAAACAGGCGTAGAGCATTCTTTCGTTGTTCTTAGTGCGTTCGCAAAGATTCTATAGAATATTCTAAGAATGCTCGTTCGCTTGATGTAAACGGCGCAAGAGCGCGCGAACAGTTGCTTAGAGCGTTCTAGCGTGTTCGGACGTGCTCGCGCCACTGAGCGGTCTTTTCAAAGCGTTCTTGTGTTCTAGCTCTAGCTCTATGTTCGTTTGATGTAAATCGATACCTCTAGCTTTCGTTTACACTAAAAGATTACGAAAGAATGCTCTTGTTCTAGCTCTAGCTCTATGTTCGTTTGATGTAAATCGACCTTTAAGCTAAGTTTAATCTGCGAAAAAATCCTATTAATGTAAATCAAAATTTTTTATTACGACAAATCATTACAGGGCCATTTTTGCCACGATTTTGAACCAGCTTTCCACTGAAGTATCTCGGAACCAATTCGAGTTAGGGTCCTTCAAGACAACAGTGTATCATTCCTTAGTGGTTATTAGGCTCCAATTTGTACAATTAATATTGAAAGTATTTTTATATTGCGACATGTCTTTTTTCATATTATTATGCATTAACATTAAATCGTATGATTATTTCCGAGTAAGTGAGGATAGGACACACATTCTATTAAAATTGTTTGTCTTAGAAAAATTACAAAAATTTTAATTTTTGGAGGTTTCCCCCCCGTTTTTTTTTTAAATTTTTTTCGAATAAACTTTTCTATATTTTATTGTATTACTTTTTGAGCAGTGTTGGCTTCATGGCTTCAGCGTGCGACTCTCATCCCTGAGGTCGTAGTTTCGATCCCCGGCTATGCACCAATGGACTTTCTTTCTATGTGCGTATTTAACTTTGAAGGAAAACAATTTAGTGTTGCCCCAAATCGGTCTTGGGTCTTGTAGTTTGGTTTGTCTTGTTCTTGTGTTTCCCCAAACCCAAACCAAAACCAAACCCCCCTTTTTTTTCAAAAAAAAAAAAAAAACACCCCCCCCCCCAGCCCCCCCCTTTCTTGAGTAGCAGGAATCATTGCGGTAAGATGAGATTTGTACAATTTAATACTCACACCTTGTATTTGGTTTCAATCCCATTTTGAGAAACGTTCCCCAATAACAAACCCCCAGGTTCCCCCAACCCCCCCCCCAAAAAAAGGGGGGGGGGGGGGCCCCCCCCCCCCCCCCCCCCCCCCCCCCGCGTTTTTTTTTTTTTTTTTTAGGTGGTTTTTTTAACAATTTATTAAGAGCGTGTTAATACTCAAAATCTGTTCCCACCATCCCATTGATAAAATTTACCTAGAATAACTTTTTTACCAAAATCCTTCCCCCTTCCCCCGTTACACTATAATAATATGTTATGCTTGTTTATGCTAATGTGCAGTCTAATTTTAGGATAAGGTCATAAAATTATAAACTAACAATAATTACTATAAAACATTGTAGTTTGTCTTAGAACTAACAGCGAGTCGAGTGGGTCTAGAAAAATTTTCTACACCACCCAATTTTTTGGAAAACACCCCCACACCCCCAAATTACAATAAAAATAATGTATAAAGTTCATGAAAGTTTTCACGTTGATCGTATGAATTAGGTATCAAATTAGATGCGAATAAATTGTTCGTAGTTATTTACCTATATTTTATTGTATTACTTTTTGAGCAGTGTTACGGCATTTACATTTGACGCCGCATTCGCCGACAAAGCGTGCGACACTCAAATTTTCCCTGAGGTCGTAGTTTCAAGATGCCCCGGCGTGAATGCACCAATGGAATGCTCTTTCTTTCTTTTATTTACGTCATTCTCACACTCCTTTGAATGGAAAACATCACGTTAAAACGCGCAAAAACCGGTGCATCTATTAATTAATATTTTGATTTCGAAATAATCATTGTTAATATCGGTAAATGATAGAGAATCTGTACAAAATAGCAGCGGGGAATGCCATGTCAGTGCTTTCAATAAGTTTATTTTAAAAAAGCTCCTAGCAAATCTAGAGTTTACCATTCAATTACACCAACAAATTATTGAAAAACAAAAATTATGAAAAAGTTATTTAGACAAATGATATCGAGTTATTAAAAGATATTTGGTTCTATCGTCGACACCGAGTTATGAAAAAGATAAACAGATATCTGAGTGCCCAGAACTAAAAATAAGTTTGGTGCCATGAACGGAGCCACTGATTTATAATTTTTATTTTATTGTATTATCGATTAATATCAGGCCCGCGTACCTATCAGTTGGAGTGGATTTTTTACAAAAATTTATCTTGAATTCCAGAATTATTTTAGCGCGAACTTATATCGTACCTATCTAGTAGATATTTTCGGATTTACTAAATATAATAAAATATCGTCGTGAACCGGAAATTTTCTAAATAAAATATTTTTTCTTAGTATTTGCTACATTTTTTTTTTTTTACAGTTCTAGATATGTATTTAACACTCCTACCAAGACCAAGACCAGGTGTTTACGCAGACAAACCAAGACTGCAAGTCTCCTGGCTTGCATTGGGCAACACTAGAAAACATCGTGTGGAAACCGGCTTGCCTCAGATCCAAAAATGGAGAGCCTATTGTCAGGCACGCGTACCTATCACTTGCGAGCCTTCGAGTCAAAGTCGATACAGATATCTGAGGCCCAGAACTAAAAATGGTTGAAGAGCCACTGATTTATAATTTTTTTATTTTATTGTATTATCGATTAATATCAGGCCCGCGTACCTATCAGTTGGATGGAATTTTTACAAAAATTTATCTTGAATTCCAGAATTATTTTAGAATATATTATCTAGTTAATTTTTCGGTAATAATATGCACCGGAATTTTTTTAAAAAAATTTTTTTTTTTGTTTTTTCTACAACAGAGTTTTTTTTTTTCCCCCCCCCCCGGGGGGGGGGGCCCCCCCCTTCCCCCCCTTCCCTCCACTGAGTTTCCATGGTATCTAATCTTATCATCGGGTGCCTCCATCCCGTTCCATTATCAGGATCGCTTGTGCCTTTCACTGTAAAGTGTTTGAAAAAAATATTGTT